TGAAATAATTTTGTACGTAATTGTAAATAAATATTTAGGTTCTTGATGTGTGAACTTGTTTCTGTTTTAATTATATCAATTAATAAACGTTCTTGATATTCATAAACTAAATTAATGTGGATGGAAGGATTTATACATAATGATAGATAAGTATTAGGTTTTTGACTTGTTTTACTGTTTTTTAATTCAATCCATTAATAAATGTTCTTGATATTCACAGAATTAATTAATTCGAATGAAGAGATTTATACGTAATGGTAAATAAGTATCTTTGATTTTGATTTGTGAACTTGTTTTACTGTGTTTAATTCCATTCATTATAAATGTTTTTTATTCATAGACTAAATTAATTCATGAATAAAATTATTTGGGATCTTTGCTAGGAAAATAATCCTCCGAGATTATGTGGATTTTATGAATAAAATTCGAATTTGCTAGCGATCTAGTAGTCTAATTTAAACAAACTTTTTTTATTTCATAGAGCTCACTAATCTCTACAGAATAAAAAAAAGTTTATTCGAATAAGACATCAGATAGCCGACAAATTTGAATTTTGTTTATCAAATCTACGTAGCCTCGGAGGGTTATTTTCCTAGCAAAGATCCCATTTGTATGTAATGGTAAGTAAGTATTTAGGTAAACTTGCTTTACTTAAATTAATGTGAATGAAGTGATTTGTGCATAATGGTAAATAATTTTCTATGTTCTTGATCTGTGATCTTGGTTTTGTTTTTTAATTCTATCTAATAATGATTAATCAATTAAATATTTTTATATTCAGACTAAATTAATATACATATAGAAGGATTTATACGTATTGGTAAATAAGTATTTAGGTTCTGATTTGTGATTGTTTTACTGTTATTAATTCTATTCTAATAAACGTTCTTGATATTTATAGACTAATTAATGCGAATGAAAGGATTTGTATATAATAGTAAGTAAGTATTTAGATTCTTAATTTGATATTCCAGACTAAGTTAATACGAATGAAGAGACTTGCATTTAATGGTAAATAAGTATTATAATCTTGATTTGTGAATTTGTTTTACTGCTTTTAATCTTGTCCATTAATAAATGTCATGGCTGAAGCTGGAAATTTTAATTATTTTAATATGAAGTTTTCAAAAATTTTTGGGTGCATTTTTCTAGTTTTTTTTTTTTATGGTTAGGTTAGGGATTAGGGTTAGTTTTGATAATAAAAGAGTATAAGTGGATTTTAGTAAGGTTTATATTGTTAAATCGAAGCCCCTAATTTCTAGCTTCAGCTGCGACAATAAATTATAATATTTGTAGGTTAAATTAATGTGAATGAAATAATTTGTACGTAATGGTAAATAAGTATTTATGTTTAACTTATTTACTGTTGTAATTTTTTCATTAATGGGTTTCGAAATTAACAACAAATTTTGCATTTCATGATTTTCAAATAGTATTTTTGCTATGTCGAATTATAAGTCAGAAAAACATGTTCTTTTATTTTAATTTTATAATCCCAATATAATTATTTGTACATAATGGTAAATTAGTATATATGTTCTTCATATTTGCTGTTTTTAATTCTGTCCATTAGTAAATTCTTTATACTTAATAAATTAAATGGTTGATAAATTTTTTTAAAAAAAAATGTCTATTTTTTATTTTATAAAAAACCAAGAAATTTATGTTGTATGACTTTAATTAATATATGATATAATAAAATTCAGTATAAAAATTGATTCGGTAATTTATTGGTTAATACAAGTCATTCTCATTATAGTGAACTCTCGTTATAGTATAGTAAAGATAAATCCCAAACCAGTCTATATAAAAATCCTTTCGATATAGTGAATTTACTAATAATCTCCTGGATATAATGAATTTTAAAAATTTTTATTTACTATGGAACGGATCACTTCACTATAACGAGAGCGACTTGTATCTATAACTTAAAAAATATAATTTAAATTATACAGTACATAAAATTAATTTTTCATGATTTGCCATGGTACCATAGTGCCATGAAGTCATAAAACATATTCCCTTTATTATTTATTTACTTTATTTAATTACAAAGTTTGCTTCTTATTATTTTAGAACAGGATCTAAGCAAAATCTTAACCTTTGAATAAATTTGGCCTTTTCCTCTTCATTCCCATTTTCTTCGATTCTCTAATACTCATTGCATGTTCTTTCCATTAACTCATTCACTGTAAGTTTTCTATTTTCTGCTACTTTATCGACCTCATCTTTTTTAAAGAATTCTAAACTTACCAACTCACGATGTTCATAAATTTCAAGTCCATTTTCATCGAACATTTGTTGGAATTTTTTCCAAGTATTAATCGTCAACAATTTTCTGGAACCATATATTTGCTCGTGAAAGATATGCTTGCAAGGAAGTATAAATTTGCAGAAAAAAAAGCAATGGCATTCAAGCGATATCAGACCAGGCAACCCTTTACCTTTCTCTATTCTATCGTTAATAGCAAAACTTCATTAACTATTAATTTCTGAACTGGAAAAGGAAACTTATGAATTTCTTTGAGAATATCATTGTGACACTGACAGCAAAAATTTTTTTAACCCAAAACTCGAACGCGACATAATCCAAATCTAAGTGCTTTTTTAAGTCAAGTGCAATAATCTTATTGCATATGCCAACCAGACAATATTGAGGTGAGGTTGTTCTTTTTAACTCACTGTGATACGATTCTAGAACATTTGTCGTTGTTACTTGCAAAAGTAGTGGCAAGTGCTGGCGGGCCCAAAGGGTCCATTGGTGAGTATTTTTTGAATAATATCTTGCAATATATTGTTTAATAGGGAAAAGAGCATATTCATTAATTGATTTTTGAACGAACATCTTACAACCAACTTTTGTTCGTTTATGCATGGCTTGGATCATCTTATTCCAAGTTTCTGGTTCATAAATTTTATTCATCCAAGTCCGCATAATATGTACAGTGCAGAAAATTACATCACATTCCTGTTCACCCTTTGTGAGACCCGAAAAAACTTTTACAATACTTTTTGCCTCTATGCTGCTTTGGTCTGCCAAAAAATAACGAAGTTTCCAGGTTCTACAAAATCGTCTAATTATAACTAATGCTTCTGCAATGTTATCGCTATTTTCATTGCTAATGAAAAAATGTCTGCCAACGTTCCAACATCCATATCCATTCCGAACATACAGCATAAATAAATGCCAGTCATATTTGTTGGTTTTGTATATGGAGTCGATAAGGGTTAGCCAACCATACTGCTGAAGCTTTTCGAGTTGTTTTGGTTATACAAAAACAAAACTAGAGATAGATTGACAGTGGGTTTTATACGATTCGACCTGATATCCTTCTTTTTGTAAAAGAGAAATTGAGTCTTGGATATCTGGTGCTAGTTCAGAAGTGCTAGTAAAATACGTATTTTGTGGCCCACAGACTTTATACTTTATATTAGCAACCTCCCTCCACCTTAATTCCTTTACACTTGTACCAAGGTCCGGATTTTCAGATGCGTATTCTTTAACTGCATTTACTATTGCAGGCACAGGATAATTTTTCACAGCTTCCTTTTCTACCAAAGTCCTAATAGCTTGGAAGTGCTTAAGCTTATCACTTTCATCCAAATTATGCGTGTGATTAGGGGAACCTTGAAACCGTTCAATACACACTTTTTGCTCGGCAACATACCATGATACCTTTATTTTTGCATAGCATAAGCCTGCTTCTCGAACTTTGGTTTTTCGCCGTTTTTCAATTAGAACATCTTCTTTGTGTGTACTTGATTCAAAGTGCTTGGCAAAGCAACATACGAAGATTTTCCAAGAATTTCCATTTACAAGTTTTTTATGACTATATTTCACCCAAAAGTTCGTAACTAAAGGCCACCATTCATTGTCGAATTCTTTCATCGACACTTCGAATGGTTGTTGAACATTAAAAAGTAATGCACATCTTTGATCACATGTAAGAACTGCCGTCAAGTTTGTTACTATGGTGTTTGTAGAAACCCTTTGCTGCGACAAATCCACTGATTCAGTTACACTCATTTGTAGGAAGTTCTCTTTGCCGGTGATACTCATTATTACTTTGCAAGAAGCTCTTGCTATGGTTATGATTTTTTTTTTTTTTTTTTTTATGCACGGAAGACCTATTCTTTTAAAGAATGTTTATACACTGCTAGTCGTTATTAAAATTTGGCTTGGTGTTTTCTGCGGGCTTTCTTTTGCAGAGTCTTTTTTTCCGGTAGCATTTTCACCAAGAAGTGGGAAGAAGCGATTATCCAGATTTTTAAGTTTTGCCAATATACCTTATATAACATATCGGTGAGTTATCAATCTTGAATTTGATTGGACGTTATTAGTAATATGATCGCTCCGGTCTCCGGATGATTAGGTCGGCAATCACGTGACCGAACCTGGCTTTAACGGATCCCTTTATTTATATATACAAACATATATACATATATATGTTGTATATATGTGTATGTATGTACGTACGTACATATGTATGTACATACACGGCACTAAAAAGTTTAGCACGGGTATTGGTTTATTATTTGTGTACCCGTGCTAAACTTTAATTAGGTACATGTGTACAACAATTTATAGGAATCAGGTTACAATCAGGTAGTAAAATTCATAAGCGATTCATAATAAAGATGAGCAAGGTAATTTACTTATTACGTAAAAGTTAAATCACATTTATTCGACATTTTATTATATTATTAATTGTAAGTATATATTATTAATAAATTGTCGCATAGTGTGATTTAAATTTTACATAATAAGTAAATTACTTTGCTTATCTCTAATTCATAAGTGATTCATTATCGGGGCTTATAATCTCTGATCAAAAAATCACTTTTATTTTCAATAATCGGCTAAATTTTATTTAATCTAATCACTCATACTAAATCATCACGAAATTGAAGATTTTCGTCCATTTGCCGGAGAAACTTCATAAATTCTGAGGCATTTGATAAAAGTTTGCTGAATGAAAAAAGCTAAAGGGCTTCTATGTATGTCCAATACATCATCTGCGTCACCACATGGTACAATTAAAGATTCTGCACTTCCACAAACTTCCATTAAAGAAGTAGATGAACCTGATCCTATCGATCCAGGGCAACAAACAATCCTTGCGGTTGGTAGCAATTGATTTTTAGTCGATTGAATTGTTTTTCGGCAATGATCTGTGTATATTTTTATATTTAAGTTAATAAAAAAAAATTTTCAAAAAGCATACCGATACTTAATATCTAAACCGAACTTCATATTTAAATGTTCGATTTTTTCAGGTTCGGTTTAAGGAATTTACTATTCAATATACCTTGGCGACACCATACTAATCACACATCAAAATATGACAATTTGCAGGCAGAAATTCCTGCAAGGGTAGTGATGTGCCGTTTATATGATAGCCCAATTTTTTTCGCGTACAGTACGTACAGTACGTATAGTATATACAGTATATATAGTATATAATTAGAGTTAGATCTGCAGTATTACTATGGCAAATCTTTAATACCAGGAACGGAGTGATGAATATCACAGCAAATCTTTAATACCAGGAACGGAGTGATGAATATCACGAAGTGTATGGCCTATTCGAGAAAGAAATTATGTTCGTACCCAAAATCTAATACCCGATTGGTCAGCGTGATCATAGTTGTCACATCTTGTATATTCTTCACCCACTATTAAAATCACGACCCATCTCCGTCAAAGCCACGAATCTGCATTGCT